TGCATCATGGTCATCCTCTATCTAAAGCTGATACTTACTCCTTCAGAGTTAAACCAGCACCATACAAACTAGCTGAGGAGGAAAGGTCAAATCAGAAGAAATTCATTTGTAGCACTGTTGGATGTTGAAGGGGGAAGGTGTGGGGGGCTTGTAGGTAAGTTAAGCATTAATTTGTAAAGCATGTTTGTCATGCTAACTATCCAGCATTCAGAGACTGGTGATTACTACCTTCCTAATAGCTGCATATGATTAACTTCATATTACTGTAAATTTACTGTGAATGGTGTCTGTGCTATATCTGATGAAACCCATGTACTTACTAGCTGATCTTTGAGCCATGATGCTCAATATGCAAGCAAGGCAATCTTTGCATGTATAATCATCATTTAAAAAAACAACAAACAGGCAGAAATACCACAGACCTTGATTAGTCTCATTACAAAGACAGGCAGAAATAGAGTCCCACACATAGTGACTTTTGACCTCTGCTTCACTCCCAGATATACCCTAGCCTGCAACGGTTGTACACAGGACATAGAACCATAGAATAGTTAGGGTTGGAAAGGACCTTAAGATCATTTAGTTCCAAACCCCTGCCATGGGCAGGGACGGCTCACACTAGACCATGTCACCCAAGACTCACCCTAGACCACGTCATCCAAGGCTCTGTCCAACCCGGCCTTGAACACCGCCAGGGATGGAGCATTTACCACTTCTTTGGGCAGCCCATTCCAGTGCCTCACCACCCTCACAGTAAAGAACTTCTTCCTTATATCTAACCTGAACTTCCCCTGTTTCAGTTTAAACCGATCCCCCTTGTCCTATTGCTACAGTCCCTAATGAAGAGTCCCTCTCTGGCATCCTTGTAGGCCCCTTTCAGATTCTGGAAGGCTTCACTGAGGTGTCCATGCAGCTTCTCTTCTCCAGGCTGAACAGCCCCAAAGGTCGTATACACAAATTGTCATCTTGCCTATGCATTTTAAAATGTTAAGCTTTTCCTCATTTGCCCACCTAAGGAAATAAGGAAGAGGTAATCATTCC